ACAGCTGTCACTACCACTGAGATGTCCTAGAGCCATGGCACAAGCAGACAGTTGAGTCAAGCACTGAAAGCATAGTATGGAAATCACTCATTTGATACTGTCAGAGAAGTTTCTTTGAACTTGTCAGTTGTGTAATTGTGTCAGTCATTGATGGCTTTGGGCTGCACATTGCTAACAGGATACAGAGCTTCAGGGTTGTTTAGGATTTACCCAGAATCCTCTATTTCAATCTTACAATAGAGTTAAGAAATTAAATCTTTCACCTTTGATTTACTAAACACACCTACTGTGGGAACTGCACGTCCTTTCTTAAAAACCATCTCCCACGTGGAACCCATGACAAGTAGCATTGTAATTAGCAGTAATTTATTAATACATTGTTTGTTTTTCTGGAAGAGAGAGGGAACACAAAGTCACCACATTATGTAGTTTGGGTTCCTGTGGTTGTCAGCTTTATCCTCCCTGCTTGTGTTGCGCATCTGCTTGTCCCACCTTTCCACTCTTTGGGTTGTGCTTTTAAATTTCACACAGCCTTTGAGGACTGGGCACTACTGACTGTGTAACACAGGTAATAAGAAGTGATGAGTAATATGCAGGCTGTGGGTTTCACAAATGATACTAATTCCCAAGTTTACAAGCCTTCCCAAGTCTGTTTGCTCGGTGACTAAAGGAATGCTCTCAATTCAGTAGGAGAATTGGTGGTGTCCATGCTTCGTGGGAAAGAACTATTTGCATTTGATCTTGTCAGCTATCATGGGTATGTAAGTCAGCAGAGAATGAAATAGCTTCCTTGCTTTTTAAATACTTTTCATCCATATGAGATAGTTAAATGTAAAATCTAGATGTCACTGAGGTTTGTAATAGTCCCTGGAGGTCTTTGGGTCAACAGCAATAATTGTGTCAGAAGTTCATTATGAAGGCAGGAAATGTTGCTACTGTATGCTTTTATTTTATAATGAAGTTGGCGTTATGATTTTGGGGATGAGCAGTACTGGACACCTCTGGCACTTCATCAGGCTGAGAAGTTTGAGTAAGGCAAGGTTCTTGAAGGTGCAGTCCTCCTCTTAGCACAGCCTGAGAAGTCAGAGTGGGCACCTGTTGCAGCTCTGCCTGCAGGAGCAGGAGCTGCTACTGTTGTGCCCCAGCTGTAACAGCTCTGCTAGGACTTAGCAGAAGCACGTGTTTCTTTCTGTAACTTGCAGTAGTCTGTTACATATTTTAAAGCAGTTTTGTTACAGAAAATCCTGTTTTGCAGCACCTTCCAGGATTAGCGATTCAGCAGGTCTCCAGGCAAGCAGCGGCTGTAGGTTACGCTGCTACAGGCACTATGAGCTGGGGCGAAGTGCTGCTGATGGTTCCTCACGCTTATTTTAACAGTAGGTTTGGCTAACACAGGGCAGCCTGAGAACAAGCCCTTGTTAGCCCTCAGCAGCAGGACAAGGCCAGGCACCAGACGAAGGGGGAAGCTGGGGGCGCCCCGCCATTGACGTCAATGGCAGTGGGGCCCGCGGCCCTCAGGTAGCCGTGGGAAAGGCTTCCCCGAGCGGGGCTGCCTGTGTCCTGGCCCCTGGCAGCCTGGGCAGGGTGCCCAGCGGTGCCTGGCCTGCACCCCGTGATGGTGGAGCGGGAATTAGGCTTGGAGGGCTGCGAGGGTGCTGGCTGCTGGAGGTTCTGCGTCGTGTCTGACTGTAAAAGCAGGCTGTTTTGCTGAAGAGCAGCTCTGAGATCATGAGTCAAAGGCCTGATTTGAAACTGCAGCCAGGCGTAGGACTGCGCTTGGAGGCTTTTTGTTCCTACACTGAAGTGTTTGGGTTTGTTTGGGCCAGAAGTGTGCCCAGGGCTTGGCACTGAGTTTTGGGGATCAGTCACAATGGAGAGTGCAGCGGGAGATGTTTAATTCACTTAGTTGAGACTACCTGAACCTGTGCTTTAAATTACTATGAGGAGCAGCAGGTATGAACATCCCCAGCTTGCTCCCCACGGTAAAGCAAGCTCCCAAACACCAAAGCAAGTTCCCAAACAGCAAAGCATGAAGCCATTAGCATCCCCTCCTAGGGCCGAACCTGCACAGCTGCCTCCCTGCGCAGGGAGGAAGGCAAGAGATGTTAAAGAAAGAAATGGGCAGGTGAAGGGAGGGTGTCGGCTGGGCTCGGCGAGGGGCTGCAGCCGGCCTCCTCTCCGCAGAGCCGCCCCGCGCTCGCTCACCCGCCTCTCCCCCCGCAGCTCCTGGACCTCTTCATGGTGTGGGACTGGTCCACCTACCTGGCTGACTACGGGCAGGCCACCTCCAAGTACCTGCGGGTTAACCCCAGCACGGCCCTCACGCTCCTGGAGAAGTAAGTGCGGGGGCCGGAGCTGCCGGCACGGGGATGGAGGCGGCTCCAGGGCCGGGGCTGGAGCCGCCCGCCCTGCCGGGAGCGGCGCGGCCGGAGCCCGGCGCAGCACGGCCGTGTCCCGGTGCCGGGAGCGGCGCGGAGCGGCGGGCGGTGCCGGGATCGCGGTCGCAGCCCGCGGCTGCCCGAATTGCCGCTCTAGGGAAGGGAAACGCGTGGGGTTTGGCCGTGGTGAAGCGGTGCGAGCCTTTCGGCCGGCCTGGAGGGTGGGCTGGGAGGGCAGGATAAGGAGGGCCCGTTGCCGCCATCCCGGTACCAACCTGCTGGTAAAAGCCGCATCAGAACACACTGCCGTTTAAAGACGTTTTCTAACAGTGTTTTCTCTCCTCTCCTGCCTATGATGAATATGTCTTCTGCAGAGTTCACAGAGGGTACGTATCGCCTATATTGTTACAAAATATTGCTGCTTTAACTTATTTAATTTCCCGAATTTCGTTTTTAAATCAATTACTACGGGAAATCAGCGATAACAATGCCCGTTATTGACGGTGAGCAAAATTCGCCCATTCGCTGCATCTGAATTTGCCATGGAGGCAGATGATATTAACGGGTTTTATGGTTTGCTTCTTTCTTATGGCATTTGGTAGGGCCAGGGTCCTGCCGAAGGGGTATTTGCTTAATATTATTTGTGAAGTAATATTTATTAAAACCAGTTCTGCATTGCAGAAGTTTAATTTAAAAACACACAGATAGCAGGTTTGTGATCTTTCAGTTCTTATTAGCAGAAAGATAAAAAGAGGAACAAAAGGAGGAACCTATTTCAATAGTCGGATTTTTCCTTTTCAAAATGTTTCTAATGTGTTTGTGTAATTTGCTTTTTTATTTCTCTAGAATGAAAGACTCCAGCAAAAAGAACAACATATTTGCTCAATTCAGAAAGAATGATCGTGACAAGCAGAAGCTAATAGAGACTGTAGTAAAGCAACTTAGGAGTTTAGTGAATGGTATGTCCCAGCACACATAGGCCTCTTAAATCAACAATATCACATCATGCCAAGAGGTGTTTCTTAGCCACTATTTCTACTAAGCAAACAGTGATACCAGTTAGGACATTTGTTTGACCGAGTAAAGGAAAAATGCAGTGGATGAATTGTACATGGAGTCTTCAACAAACAATTCTTTGTATGTATTTTTAATGATTCGAATACTATTTTGTATATTGTAAACAAATGGTAAAAAATGAGACTGTACAATGAAAACCAGCGCATTCGTATTGTACATGGAACAGCTGAACTGTAAATACGTTATTTAAATATCTGCAGATATGGTGTCCAAAATTTTGTTCTGGGTAGGAACTATTTGAGAAATGATCCCTTAGTTGCTGTTTTCTGGTTGAATCCTAATTTAATGTTTTTAAGCATTGAGATACTTGTGTTTCAGATGCCGCCTATTGTTTTCCTGCGTTAAATGTATATTAGCCTTAAAGTGACTGGACATAATTTTGTATATCAGATTTTGTAGTCTGGAGGTATGAAAAGGTCTTCTGATTTTTAGTACCTTTGAAAACTACTTGAGAACTAGACTTGATACCTATTTAGCGTTAGGACTTACAGACTTTGTTCTCCAAAAGGGTTTAATCTTGAGGTCGTGAATGTAAATAACCATTTGAGTTCTTTATAATGTGACATTTTGTTTCGTTTTGGTTTTGTTCCTCAGGGTTACCAATTCTATTTTGTAAGATCCCGGGTTCTTTTTCCCAGGCTGCAGTAAGGAATAGGTTTGCCGCTGTTGGTTTCGTGCCGCATCTGTTTGTCAGTATGCGCTTTCTACCGCCAGCCCCATCCCAGCGATTAGCATTTTGTCCCACCACCGGTCTCTTTGCACTGTCCCCTCCTGGCTATTTTAGACACTAAGAGAATGTCTAACAAATACAAACCAAATGGAACGTGTAAAAATAATGTAAATTTTTGCTGTATTTTTAAGTTATTGACGGTCTAAATACAGTAAGATAAACCTCGCCCGTGTTCCTGTTTAATTTCACACACCGGCACGCACCTCAGAGCCAGTTTCGCGGGACCTGTACGGGTCCTGACTCAGTGGCGATTTACTCCCGGGGAAGGCGGTCGGGGGTCGGGGCGGCCCCGAGGCGGGGTGCGGGTCGGGGGCAGTGCAGGATCGTCACGACTGCCGCTGCAGTCCGGGCAGCGGGGGGCGGCGGGGCTGGGGCGCTCCCCGGTCGGGGGAGCCCGGGACGGGACTCGCTACCTTCGCCGGGCGGCGGGGAGGGCTGGCCCGAGGGGGCGCCGGGGGCTCCCCGCTCCCGGGGTAGCCGTCCAGCCGCCGGCTAGCGGGAGGGGGGCGCCGGGCCCCCATCCCCGGGGGGGCTGCCCCGCCGCGGCCCCGCGCCCCTCGGCCGCTGTGCCTGGCTCTCCGGCGCCAATCACCGCACTTGGCCGCGCCGCTTAAATATGCAGCGGATACGTCATCTCCGAAGGTGGATCGGGCGTAAGTGGCCAATATCTATATAAATGTGGCCGAGGGGCGAACCGGCAGCAGGAGGCGAGCGGGGCCGGGCGGGCAGCAGCCGGCAGGGCCCGCCGTGCAGCGCCCGGTAGCCGGTCTGACAGCCGCCCGCAGCCGCCCGCCCGTCCCCGCCGCTGGAGGAGGATGCCGGCCCGGCTCTCCTGGCCCGAGGCGGCGGCGCTGGCGCTGCTGGTCCTGGCGATGCTGGTCACCCTGTGCCGGCACCTGTGGGCGCTGCGCTGGAGCCTCAGCCGGGACCGGGCCAGCGCCCTGCCCCTGCCCAAGGGCTCCATGGGCTGGCCCTTTTTTGGGGAGACTCTGCACTGGCTGTTCCAGGTAAGGTGCCGGAGGATGAGGGCGGGCTGGGAGGGGGCTGGTAGAAGCCACAGGCTGACCCGCAGCTCGTCCCCAGGGCTCCCGCTTCCATAGCTCACGGCGGGAGAGATACGGAAACGTCTTCAAGACCCACCTCCTGGGCCGGCCCGTGGTGCGGGTGACGGGCGCTGAGAACATCCGCAAGATCCTTCTGGGCGAGCACACGCTGGTCAGCACACAGTGGCCCCAGAGCACCCATATCATCCTGGGCTCCCACACCCTGCTCAGCTCCACCGGTGACCTGCACCGCCAACGCCGCAAGGTGAGCCTTGCATCCAGCCCGACAGGGCGCACAGCCCAAGCGGCACCTCCGCCCAGGCTTGAGCCTCGGTGACGTGTGCCCCCCCTGCTTTAACTACCTGCCTCTCTTCCCCCCTTCTCCTCCTAGATCCTGGCCAGAGTCTTCAGCCGTGCTGCCCTGGAGAGCTACCTTCCACGGATCCAGAAGGTTGTGAGCTGGGAGCTGCGGGGCTGGTGCATGGAGCCGGGCTCCATCGCAGTTTATTCCTCCGCTAAAACCTTAACTTTCCGCATTGCAGCTCAGATTCTGCTGGGGCTCTGCCTGGAGGAAAAGCAGTTCAAGGATCTGGCCAAAACATTTGAACAGCTGGTGGAGAACCTCTTCTCCCTGCCCCTCAACATACCCTTCAGCGGGTTGCGCAAGGTACTGCCACATGTCCCATTCCCTCTGGCTGGGGGCAAGGGCCTAGGCCCTGGCAGCACAGACCTCCTGTCCCCAGACCCGCCAAGGGGCACTTCCAATGGGCCAGGACATCTGCAGCACCCCATTCCAGGTCTGAGGGCTTGGTGTCTCACCTAATTCAGCCATTTCCCTTTCTCTGCACTTCCCACCTGCTCCTGGTTGACTTCCAGCACCTTTGGGTGCTGGCTCCAGGTCATTGTACCATGCAGGGCTTCTCTTCTCCCTCATCCCACATTGCCTCTGGCTATTTCATCATGTCTGGGCCCGTCCCGTCTCATCCCAACTGGACTCGTGTCGTCCCACAGCAGAGGGGTCTGTGGGCATGAGCACAAAGACAGGTGGGCACAGCACAGCTCAGTTTAGCAACCCCTGTGCAACTCAGGCCAAGGACTTGGGACCTCCTATGGTCCTTGGTCCCTTGTAGCCCAGCAGCACAGAGACAGCCCAGGGAGAGGAACATGGCACACAGTCTCCTCTGCCTCAACTTGCAGTTTCTTCCCTGCTGCTCTGCTCCTCTTTGCCTGCCTCCCTACACTCCTGCTCTAGGTATCTGTCCTGTGTACCTCCTCTCACATTACTCCCTCTTCTGGCTTTAGGTTCTCCACACTTATCACAGCTGAAGTCTCCTGCCCACTTTAGCCAGGTCTTCCCTCATCTCTTATTTCCACTGTGAGCTCTGCCCCATTGGATCACCTTACCCAGCCAGTCCCAGTTCACCCCCAGCCTTCCTGCTGTTCTTCACCAGTTCAAAGCTCTGGTTTTCCCTGTCCAGTTTTCCTTCACAGGTTGGCACAGTGTGAGCTTTCACCCCTCACAGCCTACCGCTCTCTGCCCTCTCTCAGGTCAGCCACAGCCTGTCTGGCCCCAGACCAATATGTTCAACTTGCATTTAGGTCCCCTTGTTTTTCCCTTGCTCCCTGCGCCCTGTTTACTTTGTCCAGTCCTTCCCACCTCAAATCTAAGCCTTTGCATGTTTTTTCCAACATCTGATCATGGCCATTTATCATTCCAAATCTCATCCTTCTGGCTTTTGCAGGAAGCATCTTGATAGAGAGCCACACACTCTGTGACTCCATCCCACTTTGCAAAGAGATTGCTGATCAATTGACTTGTTGAGATCTTAAATGACTATTTTGCTGCACTGGAGAGCAACACAACTGAAGATGAGCTGGCTATGATTAATGTGTGTTTTTCCCTGGTTAAGCCACTCATTTGATCCTGTCTCAGATGTGCCTTGCTACCTGGAGTCAGTTTTATTTAAAAGTTACCTCTTCTTGCCCCTTTGGGCAAGCTTCTTTTGGACAGAGGCAGATGCCTCTGGACTTGGTACTGCAGGTTTACTGCTGTCTTTTCCTCTCAGAGAATTTCTTGTGACTTGTTGTATTTGATTCTCAACAGCAAAGCAACAGAACATGCAGCAGTTCCCGCTAAACTGCTGCCTCTTGCAAGGCTCTGGGGCTGGGCAACAGACTAAACTGTTCTTGCTGTTACAGATCCTGGATTTAAGGATTGCTACACGTGGGCTCCCCTGGTATGTCAGGAGAGGGGGGGAGTTCCTAAGGTTCTCCTGAACTTTGTCTGCCTCTCACAGGGAATAAAAGCACGGGACATGCTCCATGAGTTTATGGAGAAGGCTATACAGGAAAAACTGCAGAGAAGCAACCCAGAAGATCACAGTGATGCTCTGGATTTCATAATGAACAGTGCCAAGGAGCACGGCAATGAATTCACCGTGCAGGAGCTAAAGGTAAGGATGAACCCAGTAGTCCTTACTGAACCTAAACCATCAACTGAATGTGAGGAGTGTTTTCCCAAAGATCTTGGGAAAAAATTGTCATTAGTACTGCATCATTCATAGTTCCAGGTCACTTGGTATCAGTGAACGACAGATGACACTGGATTTATATAACAAGTTTTGAAGCAGTTTTGCATGGGTATAGCAGCTGAATATAGTTCAAAAGTATTTGAATATAGTTTAAAGGTAGTTTCACTGCTTACTTAAGTATTTAAGGAAAACTGTCTAAAGATTAATATTTTATAAATATTTTGTAAAAAGGTAATCTCTAAATCTAAAATATTTCAAAAACTTTGAGCAACTAGTAGATATAATTAGAATCAGCATATGTTCATAAAGCAATTTTATTATAATTAATTATATTATTCTAATAGAATATTTTTATTACAATGTAATTTTTTAAATAATTGAAATATTAAAAATGTGATTGATTAAGATTAATTAATCTCTGTTAGTGTTCACATGAATATTACACCTGAATAATTTCACAATCTCTCATCATGTCCCTGGCTCTGACCATAAATGCAATAAGGGGATATTAAATGTAACATGGAGTTCCATGGCAGTAATTTGGGGCCAGCTGATTGAAATTATAGTATATAAGATATACTACAATATATATTATATATAAAAGTACATATATTTATACTTTAGGATATGCTGTCCTGTAGCATTACGGTTAGAAAATTTCTATCTTGTCTGTATTTAACAAAATTACTTGCAAACCAAACTGCCTATGCTTTTGAGTATGGCAATATTCACTCTGATATAACAGTAGCAGAGCTCTTATTCCATTAAATGGTGTAATTGGATAAAAAGTTCAAAGCTGTCTCAGAGACATCTGTCTTTGAGAGACCCTCCAAACACTGGCACAGACTAGTTAGTAATTTCCTTTGTGTTCAAATTATTTGGAAGGACAGTCTTTCCAGAAGTTTTCCTAAATACACTGCTGGCATGAACTCACCAGGACCCTTGAAATGTAAAGTTCATTAAAGAGATACTGCTTTGCCAAAAGTACTGTTTTAAATGATTTAAAACCCTGGGAAGATTAAAAAAACTCCATCCTACATAACAGTGCTGTCACTGGCTGGATGGGTGGAACTGTAATGCTGCCTGTCGTGACCCCCAGGACAGGGAGTTGGGCTGTAGCACAGGGACAATACTGGTGAAACTTGGGAAGGTGCTGCCTTCCAGGCACTGGTTATGTTGGCCTTGTAGAAGCAGGAAGGCAATGTCAGCAGCTCAGTGTCACAGCTGCTGCAGCAGCACTGTCAGAGGTTGATGCAGAGAGTCATAAAGGCTGTTATTTCAAATCGCAGAGCTTGCCCTAAATTCCTTGCATGCTATTGAAATGTCTTGGGGTTTAATTGCAAGTGGTGGAACTGAGAGCTTTCTTTTCATCTGGATCTGCTACCTTGTGAATGTAAAAATTCCTGCTCATGCCTGCAGGAGGTGTGATAGGGGTCGACAGGGATCTGTTATTCCAGAGGTTTCATTTCAGCTGAAAGATGCCCTTGAGAGCTGCACTTTGGCAAAAGCATCTAGTCCAGCCAATATATGGCACTGGGGATGGTAGCAAAGAGTCATCCTTGTTACATTACCCTTGACCTTATCAGACTTGGGTCCAAGTATGTTCAGGCTTCAGGTGTCCTTCTCTGTGTTTGTGGCTTCACCTCTCCAGAACGGGTTATGTCGGAACAGTTTAAAGTCCAGACACACAGTCGTGTGAAAGGAAATTGCTTTGTGTCTTTGGGGGATTTTGCTCTGCTTTGCCCTTGGACTGGAGCAATTAGTGCTCTGTAGAGCCAACCAGGTCCCAGTCCTCCCAGGGTGGCAGCTTCCAGCTTTTGTCTTTGGCCTCTGGCCCTGGTGCTCCTAGTCCTGTGCTACAGAGCCGCTGGCACCTTCAGATGGTGTTGTAGGTTTGAGCATTACATTTGCTGTCAGAGACATGATATGCCATGACCCAGCTCTGGGCAACATTTAACTTTTGGTAAACCATTTGCCAAAGTTCACCAGAGGGTGCTGCAAACAGCCCACAGCAACCTGGTATGTGCTGTGCCATACAGACCCTGCAGACAGTCCTGCAAAGACTGGGAAGCTGTGTGGGGATCTGTGAACTGGGACAAGGCATGTACGACAGATTTGACTGTTCTGTGGTCCATCTATCTAAGCGGGTTAACTTCCTAACTTGTAATGGATACATCTGCTGTGGAGCTATCAGGAATATTGCTGTGCTTCAGGTTGTAAAGCTTGAAAGGTGAGCAAGTCCTTTGCCCAGTGTGTGCTCCCTGACAGCTACAGCACTTCCCAGGCTGACCTGCTGTAGCAGAGAGGTCTTTCTGCTTTTGACTCTTGGCTTCAGTCCCCTCCCACATAAGCAAATGGTCAATTATAACGGGAGATGCATCAAATGCAATCCATTTTAGCTGCCAGCACATCTAGGATTTGTGCATAAACACACTCATATCCACTGCCTGGGCAGAAAACTAAAAGGTGGGTGCAAAGGGGAATTGGCAGATGAGGAGAAAAAGCATAATGCTTGAAATGGACTTCACTCAGTGTGCTATAATGCATGTTAAAATGCTGCTTTAAAATTGGTAAATCTTAGGAGGAAAGCTCAGATGAGCTGTATTGGTGGTGATGTGTACTCAGCTGTGTTTCTGTTTTTCATCAGTCACTTAGCAAGTGGATATCCAGTTCATAAATGGTTTGCTCCCTGCCAACCCATGATAGGTGCAGGTTTGTGGAAAACAGAGTGGGAGCTAGGGCACTCTGCAGAGGGATAAAATCTGAAAAAGGTGAGAACAGTTTAAATCATAAACAGTTTAAAATGGCATTCAAACTTGTCACCTTCATTCCTCTCCCAGGAGTCAGCAATTGAGCTCATATTTGCTGCTTTTTTCACCACGGCTAGTGCCAGCACCTCTCTGATCCTCCTGCTACTGAAGCACCCCTCAGTGATTGAAAAAATAAGGCAGGAGCTGATGTCCCATGAACTGTACCAGCAGTGTGAGTGCCACCCTGCAGGACCCTCCCCAGACACCCTGACCATGCAGAGCAGGGATAGAGAGAAACCACGTTTCCACTCCGTGGCCAAAGATGTTCACAAGGATCAAAGCCAGCCCCCGGCCCCAGTGGAGGAAGGTTCCCTCCAGTCTGGTGCCCTGCTGGAGCCCATCCTCCCCCAGAGCAGCCTCTGCACTGGCTCCCAGCTCCAGGCACCATCAAGGCAGAGCTGTCATTGCTCCTCGGACATCAGCCTGGAGAAGCTGAGCCGCCTGCGCTACCTGGACTGTGTGATTAAGGAGGTGCTGCGGGTGCTGCCCCCAGTCTCCGGAGGCTACAGGACGGCACTGCAGACTTTTGAGCTCGATGTAAGTGCCTTGCAGGCTGTTAGGGAACTGCTGCCTGTCACTGCATCCAAGTACAGCACAGTGGTGGTGCCTGGCAGTGTAGCTCTGGGGGAGGTGGCACCCAGCAACCTCTGTGGGTCCCAGCTCGGCTGGGGAGAAAAGGAGCTACAGATCAGGTGGGCAGTATGCTGGGGCTGTCCTCTGCTCACCCTCTACTAGCACGGGTATGTAACACTCCTCTCCTCCCCTCTTCTCTCCCCTCCCAGGGCTACCAGATCCCCAAAGGCTGGAGTGTCATGTACAGCATCCGTGACACACATGAGACAGCTGCTGTCTACCAGAGCCCCCCCAGCAGCTTTGACCCAGACCGCTTCGGTGCCGCCCGGACGGAGGCTGCAGGCCGGTTCCACTACATCCCCTTCGGTGGTGGGGCACGGAGCTGCATCGGGAAGGAGCTGGCACAGGCCATCCTCAAGCTGCTGGCCATCGAGCTGGTCAGCACAGCCCGCTGGGAGCTGGCCACCCCTGGCTACCCCGCCATGCAGACCGTGCCCATCGTGCACCCCGTCGATGATGGGCTGCAGCTCTACTTCCACCCCTTGTAGCCTGGCCATGGCCGTGGGGCCTGAGCCAGGGGTGCACTGCTCCCCTCAGCCCTGGAGCTGATGCCCCTCCACAGCTGCTGGGTGCAGGTCTCCACTGCCTCAGGCTGGGTATGGCACTGGGTCACTGCAGAGCAAAACCTAAAGGTCTGTTTCTCCCCTCCTAGTGTACAGGCTGCTAGGGAGGGTCCTGCACCCCTGAGCACTAGGGTGAACCTCAACCCCAGCCTGGGGGCAAAACCCACTGAAGTTGCTGGCAGGGAGCATACGCCATGAGGGCTCAGAGAGCCCCCACTCCATACAGGGTTGTGGAGCAAAACTCCCAGGCCCACAGCTACGGCTCCCAGAGCATTTCTGTCACCGGGTTGTCTCCTGTGTGTGTGTTTTAGGAGAGGCAGGATGAACATCCTGAACACTGTAGCTTTTTAGATGTAAAAAGAAGGAAGATGGGGGCTCTGCAGGAAAACACAAGACAGAGCTGCCCAATTCATGGCATCAGCTCTAGCTAGAATAATAGGGTGTAAAGTGGTTTTTATTATAAATATTTAATCTCATTCCTGCACTTCCCATTAGAGCTGGCACAAAGAGGGTATCTCTCATTCACCCAGTAGTAGTAGCTGCATATGTTGTGTTGAGCACTGTGCTGCTGCTTGGGGTCTGCCATGAAGCCCCACTCTGGGTTCTCCACAGGATGTACTGAAGCATGGGAGGGGGCTTTGGGAAGAAAACATTTAGAAAATGGACATTTCTGGATATGTCTGATTTGTGGTAGACAGTCCCTTGTTCCTGGTGATGCTGTTCACACTGCAGAGGGGACATTTGCAAGGTGATACAGGCCCTGTGGTGGCTGGCTGGCCAGACTGACCTTGTCACCTGTCAGCCTAGCTCTGCCAGGGAAAGTGCCAGGACAGCAGCTCCAGGGTCCATCCACAGGGTGGTAGCTGGGGCTAAGCTTGGGTTCTGAAAGCACCTTTCTAGATGGCTTTTGAGTACCACCACAGGGTGTTTCTCTCCCGTGTAAAATGAAGTGAGTCCTGTTGCTTGTGTACTGATAACAGAGCTGGAGCCAGATCTTTGATCCGCTACAACATGTTTATAGGCTTCTTCAATTTCCCCTTTGCTCCCCACTGTCACGCATCCTGTGTGGATGCAGTGGGGAAAATAATCCGCCTTGTCCTTCCAGAGCATCCTGTGCCTGGTGGTGTGGTGTGCTCTATGTGAAGCACCAGCTTGACCTGTGAGGGCCAAAATGTTGCACAGTGTCCCTTTGAAAAGGCCCTGGGAGCTCTCCAGTCTCCTGAAACTCTGTCATCATCCTGCTTCAGTACGAGGCTAGAAATGACCTCACCCTGGCCAGTCCCCCTTGACTGTGTTGGGGCACTGCAGCAGGGTGTGTGCCGCCGTTGGCTGTCTGAGGGCTGCGCAGTGACCACTCCACTACCTGGGGCAGAAATGTGGCTCCCAAATGTAACAGGTCAAATCTGGAAGAGGTTGAACTGCAGGGCTGAGTTAAGTGCTGTTGGCAGGCCAGCCCTGTAGCGAACCAGAGCCTCTGCCCCTCCTGACCTTGTCCTGAAAGGTGAATCTTTTGCTTATCTGAGGTGAAATCAGTAGATGGTGGGTGCAAGGCAATGACTAACTTTAATTAGCAGGAGCTGCTGGCTGACTGAGACCGCGGACGATTCAGGGTCCCACCGCAGGCAGGGCTGCGGGCAGGGCTGAGCCCGGTGCAGAAGGGTCGGGGCTTCTCCAGCAGCGCACTTAAAAATTACCCCGAGCGCTAACGAGCCCTGTAGCCACCCGCTGAAAAATGTAACATGAATCTAGTTAAAAAAAAAAAAACTTGAAACTGATTTTGTTTGCAGATAAACACGAGCATTTACAAATGAAGTGTAATAATTGTTACTTGTAATCAAAGTTTGTTCATATTAGGCTGTTAATTTCTTGACCCCCTTCCAAGATGTTTTTAATTATCCCTTTCACTCTTTACCATTTGATTCTTTTCAAGCCGATGGCTGGGGAATACACAGCTGGGGAGATAATAAAGCCTTCCTGTGGCAATTATCGGTGCTCAGGCCACCGTATCTCGTTATTTTGATAGACAGTGAACTTGGCGCGGTTGCCGGCCGGGTTCACGCAGATGTCACGGTCCGTGTTGTAGGTCACAAGCAGGTCAGCGCCCGGCAAGGGGAGAGCGCCGGGTCAGGGCGCGGCCGCCGCTCCCGGACGGGCGCCGCGGAATCGCCCGGGACTGCGGCGTACCCCGAGAGGCTGCTGGCTACGGGGCCGGGGGACTACCCTCTGGGGAGGGCCCCTCTTGGGCAAGGGGGTGCGGAGGGCTGCAGCTCCGCTCCCGCAAGGCATCGTAAGAGCAGGGAGGGTCCCGTGTGATGCGTTGATTGTTAGAAAAATAATAATTAAAAGTGACATCTCCCTCTTCCATACACAGACACACACACAAAACTTCCAGCGTTTATTGGGCTTGTCTGGGAGCAATAAAGCAAAAGTAACAGAGAGGGAAGACGTAAAAACAGTAAAAAAAAAAAAAAGGACGATGGTTTATCGGCAGCAGCCGTGCCCGGCGGAGAGCTCCGCGGCCCCGCAGTCGCGCTCCGCGCCGGGCGCCCCTTGCCCAGCGGCTTCTGCACCGGGACACAGCGGCGGCCCCAGCCGGCACAGCCTGCCCATCCCCACCGGGTGCCCCGGTACCGCCGCTCCTCCCGCCCGGGGCCGCCGCTCCCGCCCGAGCGCAGTCCCCGGTGCCCGCCGGAGCCGGGAGCGAGCCCCTCTGCGCCGCGCCTGCAGGACGGGTGCCCGCCGGTGCTGAGCGCCTCTTTCCGACCGCGGCAGCCCCGACGGGATGCCGGACAGCCTCAGACAAGGATCAGCAGTGGATCCCGGGGAGAGGAGCTGGGCACGGCGGGTTTGGTGTTTCCTTTCCGCCCTCACCTCCCTTTCCCTCGGTGACCCGCGCTTGAACCTGCATCGGGAGGCTGAGACGGACTGTTGCCGGCGGCTCCTTCCTCCGCGGCCGGCAGAAATACAAGCCGGGCCTTTCAAGGTGAACGAGGGGACAGCAGAGGCTCCTCTGCCGATGCAGCGGCACAGCTGCTGCTCTGCCCGGGGTGCCGCCAGGCTGCCCCAGCACCGGGGACCCCTCGGTCCGGCTCCTCCGGCTCCGGCCGCTACTTCGCCGTTCCCGGCCGGCGACAGCGGCGGGCGAGCGAAGGAGCTCCGCAGCTCGCAGAGCGGACCGGCGCCGGCCGCGCAGCGCCCCGGGGGTAGGTGTCTGCGGGCAGCCGGGCCCCCGGGTGCTGGTGGGGGACATTTCTCGGCGCAGCTGCTGGTCTGTAACGAGCACCGGCGGTAAATCCGAAGAGCAGGACGAGGAGGAGGTGGCCGCCGCCGGTTGTCAGCGGCGTCCCGCAGCCCACTCGCTGAGCGCGGTGCAGGCGCAGCGAGCCCGGAGCCTCTGCCACCGCTCCCGGGGGCACCTTTCCTTCCCCAGCAGCGTTCTGCGGCGGGCAGGATGCACCACGCAAAGCAAATAGTTAAAGATTTCGGGGGGAGGAGCCAGGCCGCAATCCGCAATTAAAGATGAACTTTGGGTGAACTAATTTATCGGACCAAGGTAGGGTGGGCAGCAACCTGGGAAGGCTATAAAAGGCGGCCCGCGGCGAGCCCGTCCCGTGCACTCGGAGCTCCCAGGGGGCCGGGCGGGACTCGCTCCCCAGTCATGGGCTTCTCTGTCCTGGTCGCCAGCGCCCTGTGCACCTTCCTGCTGCCCCTGCTACTGTTTCTAGCTGCCGTCAAGCTCTGGGACTTGTACTGCGTGAGCAGCCGCGACCCCAGCTGCCCGCTTCCACTGCCCCCGGGCACCATGGGGCTCCCCTTCTTCGGGGAGACGCTGCAGCTGGTGCTGCAGGTAAGGCGAGGCGATGTCGCGGGGTGCGGAGAGGCTCCCCGTTGCTGCTCTAGCGGCAGGGGAGGGAGACGAGCAGCAACTTTGCCAGGCTCCCGTGCCCAGGTGGGAACGAGCTGCTCTCCCTGCCTTTTCCTCTCCTCCCTTTTAAAATTTATTTTATCATTCTCTCTTCTCCTCTGTCTAGAGGCGGAAATTTCTACAGATGAAGCGCAGGAAATACGGGTTCATCTACAAGACTCACCTCTTCGGGCGGCCCACGGTGCGGGTGATGGGCGCAGAGAACGTGCGGCACATCCTGCTGGGCGAGCACCGGCTCGTCTCTGTGCAGTGGCCCGCCTCGGTGCGCACCATCCTGGGCTCGGGCTGCCTCTCCAACCTCCACAACGGGCAGCACAAGCACCGCAAAAAGGTACGGCCCGACGGCGGGCGGGGAGCGGGCGCGGTCGCCCCGGATGCGGCGGCTGAGGCTCTGTCTCGATCTTCCTCGTCCCTTCTGACAGGTGATCATGCGAGCCTTCTCCCGGGACGCCCTGCAGCACTACGTGCCCGTCATCCAGGAGGAGGTGAGCGCCTGCCTGGCGCGGTGGCTGGGCGCCGCCGGGCCCTGCCTGCTGGTGTACCCCGAGGTGAAGCGCCTCATGTTTCGCATTGCCATGAGGATCCTGCTGGGTTTCCAGCCCCGCCAGGCCAGCCCCGACGGCGAGCAGCAGCTGGTGGAGGCCTTCGAGGAGATGATCCGCAATCTCTTCTCTCTCCCCATCGATGTGCCGTTCAGTGGGCTCTACCGGGTAAGGTTCACGGTGGGCCAAGAGGAGACAGGTACCCTTGCAGCTGGGGCAGTGGGGAATGGGTGGGAGGAATGGCAGTACAGCCCAAGTTCCACATTGCTCTCCCTGCTGCTTGGCCAGGGCTTGCGGGCACGTAACATCATCCATGCCAAGATCGAGGAGAACATCCGTGCCAAGATGGCCCGCAAGGAGCCTGAGGGTGGCTATAAAGATGCACTGCAGCTGCTGATGGAATACACACAGGGCAATGGGGAGCAGCTCAATATGCAGGTAAAGTTCTCCAGGGCCGGATCCATCCCTTTCCCCCAGCCCCTTTGTCATCGTCACACTTATCTTTTGGATAAAAAGGAGGGAGCAGGAGGTGCTCCCTCTCCTCATGGAATAAACCAGCTTGTGTTGAGCACTGGGGTGCAGAGGTTGCAACCAGGCTGTTGGATGGGGAGACAGGGAGAATAAGCACCTCTGATCACCTTCATCTTGGCTCCTGGGTGTCTCCTCCAATCTGGGAGCAATGCACAGCATTGCAGTGGTAAAACGGGCTTGATACAGATACTTTGTTTAGGGCCTGGTTTATCCCTCTTCTTTCCTTTGTGTAAGGAGCTGAAGGAGTCTGCCACAGAGCTGCTGTTTGGGGGCCATGAAACCACTGCTAGTGCTGCCACATCGCTGATTGCCTTCCTAGGGCTCCACCACGAAGTCTTGCAGAAAGTGAGGAAGGAACTGCAGGTGAAGGTGTGTATCTTCCCCAGAGCCATTTCAAGGAAGGGGCAGTGGGAAGGTATCTCCAGGATGGGTGTCCCAGACAGGGCTCCATTTGACCCGGGTGGTACCCTGCTTTTACGGGTGGCATGATAATACAACTCACTTAGGGGGGTAGCTCTTTTGCAGTGCCAGTAGTCCTGGCTCCATGAATGTCATGGCAGCATCTTCCTTTCTAGGGGTTACTGTGCAGTTCCAACCAAGAGAAGCAGCTGGACATGGAGGTCTTGGAGCAGCTGAAGTACACGGGCTGTGTCATCAAAGAGACCCTCAGGCTGAGCCCGCCTGTTCCTGGAGGATTTCGAATTGCGCTCAAGACCCTTGAGCTAAATGTAAGCAAGGCTTGGGCTCAACTGCTCAGAGCAGCTGCAAAGAACCAGGGCATTCGCATTGCCTTTCTGCCTTGGACTGGCCTGCAGGAGGCCGGGAGGGGGAGGTGGGGTGAACCTATGTGTCCTGTGCTGTCACTTCACATTATTTAACACAGCAAGGTGCTTCATGACTCCTTTCTCTTCTTTTTATAGGGTTATCAGATCCCTAAAGGTTGGAATGTTATTTACAGTATCTGTGATACCCACGATGTGGCAGATCTCTTTACCAACAAGGAAGAATTTAACCCGGATCGCTTCATGTCTCCATCTCCAGAGGATTCCTCTAGGTTCAGTTTCATTCCTTTTGGTGGGGGCTTGAGGAGCTGCGTGGGCAAAGAGTTTGCAAAAGTCCTTCTAAAAATATTTACAGTGGAGTTGGCTCGGAGCTGTGACTGGCAGCTGCTGAATGGACCTCCTACAATGAAAACGGGCCCCATAGTGTACCCTGTGGACAATCTGCCTACCAAATTCATAGGTTTCAGTGGCCAAATCTGAGAGCTCAACACTTGCCTCTGACTGGAGTTCTACATAGCATCTAATATGTACATAGTAACTTTTTTATAGTAGCAAAGACCTTTAAATATTTAAACTTGTAAATGTACAATAGTTATTTATGTCTTCTAAATATTTCAAAAGGCTATGATATTTTTCCCCCAAGCACTACAATTATGGGTCTCTGATTCATAATTAGATAATGTTATTTCTATAGAAATAAGTTTTCCCCTATTTAAAAATCTCATTGAAAGCTGGCCGGCTAAGCATTTGAAGACATTTCAGGATGGCTTATGTATTAAGAAATATTCCAAAAGTATTCAAAACAATGGTAACTAGCTACTCATCCAAGTTACCTGAAATGGTTATTGTTTGAGAATGTTTTCAGTATTATTTGTGTCTAGATCTTATGTTTAATGTGTGGATTTTAAGTTTGATAATAAAGTTTATTTTTGATGATCCTCTGTATGAAGATCTGTGTGTCTGCTAGAGAACAGCTTAATGAATGGGGCTCAAGAGTTTGGATGTAAAGTCAGACCTGCTTTTGTGAATGAGGTACTTGCTATTTCTGTGCTCATAACTCTTCCCTGCCTTCCCTCTTCACCTGTGGTTCTTGCTTGTGAATTGTTCTAAGTTTTAGCCTGTAAGTGCAAGAGCAATGCAAAAACACTTGCTTATTAAAAAGGAGCGATGGCAAGTGCTACAGATCTCCTTATCAAGCATATAATTTTGAGTCACAGTAAATAAGAAAGTAAAGAAAAGCAGAAGAATAACGTGTTACATGAGTCTTCCTCTGTAGCTGGAGAAAATAGGTTGAGGAAAAAAAATTCCATAAATGTCCTCTCTTCCCATATTACTGCTGACCTGTGTAAACAGACCACTGGATCTTGTTCTGTGTTGAGTCTGCTGGCTATGACTCTTTACTTACGAAGGTGTCTCTTATCAGCTGGTAGAGCAAACAAAATCTGCTGATTTCTTCTTGAAATGCAACAGCTCTGGCTAGGTCAGAGAGAGAGCATGCATTTGATTTAAGAACTTCTTTCCTGGAATTCAGCAAAGTGAAAACTAAAAGGCAGGCACTAATGTGAATTGATTAACAGAGAATCAACTGTTGAGATGCAATTCCCCAGGGGTGTGTAAGCAGGGCAGATAA